TACACAATTTATGAAAGAAAAATTGTGTTTTCAACACTTTTTTACCAGTTATCATTTCCATTAAAAAACTGCAAATATTTTTACGAATCATGCCTTTGTGAAACTGCTTTATTGCCCTCTTTATCACAAATTGCTAATAACATGTGTGAAAAAACAGAACAGAAAGAAAAACAGTAGTTTTTCTTTCATAAATTGTGTAAGAATATTAGCGGTTTTTCCATCTTTTTTAAAGTTTTAGACGCAGAAAACTCACTCAAAACCTCGCTTAGAACCTTGAAAAATCGTTTTCTATAGGTTTGACGACGTGCTCTTTCATTTGGACAGGTCAACAAAGTATTTAGTGAAAATGGTTTTTCGGTTGAAAAACCAAGATCTTTAAAAACCGGGTCTTTAAATCGAAAGCGGGCAAAAACCATTGTGATATTCGGAATCAACACGTTCTGTTACCTATTATCAACTGAGTTTGAGCTCAAAAGCGAGGAGACAGTTGGTGGCCTTCCCTCATTAGAATAAAAAGTATTGAAAAACTCTTTTGCAATTTTGGTCATAATTTTACATTCAAATATATTTGTTTGACCTATGTGTATAGCCTACTGTTGATGTTTTCAAGTTATATATAAGCGATATATTCTAAGATATAAAATTTCAATACATCTCCAGTTACTGCCAATCAATCCTTACCATTTTATTTTAGATTAAACTTCTCTAAGAAGTCCCTACTATAATAGAAAAAGTCACTAATTTATTTCAAATTAATCTCTGGATATTAGATGTTCAAAGATCGATTTTTATATTGAATTTCGTAAGCAGTCTGTGCCTTTTGAATATCAGATTGACTGGCTCTTTTATTATGATTTTTGTTACACTTTTTTCTAAGTGTCAGATGTACGCTCACTCATTTCTGTCGCGTGAGATAAAAAAAAATGACTTCAAGATTAAACAATCCATTCAAAATTAATCAGAATAGTGTTGAACGAAAGCTAATGAATGGGAGATAAAACCGTTAAAAAAAACTGAGAAAATTATATTATTTCTTGTCAAGAAAAGATCTAACATAAAACTTGAAAATTCGGTTGTCACTGGAGATATATCGAGATCGAGAGTCTTGATGCATCACTAGCTCTATCAAATGATATATCACGCTTATACTTGAATATTGTACGTACATGATAGTTTCCCACACATACTATTAAGCACTGTCGCATATCTCAAGAAACTCTTGTATTTCGATTAATTTAATACTGGTTGTCAGGAAAATCTATTGATATCCTTCTATCATATAGTACGTTATAATGTACTAACTATAAACTTAAAAAATCAAAAACATGTTTTTGTCCATCTTTTTCGTGAAACGGTAGAATAAATTCGCAATTCCTTCATATATTTGTGAAGATAAGACTCACAATCTCTATTAGAAAAAAAAAACAAAGGAAATTTTTACTGATTTTTGTTTTTCAGCGGTTATTAATGTTCAACAAGAAATTTCCAATGAATTTAACTATTTTTACTTCTTTTGAATCTAAAAATAACGATTGTATTTCCTTAGTTTTCTGAAACTCTTAATCCAATAGCACTAGAAAATCTTTCATCATTAATTGAATAAGCAGAAAATGAATGTAGAAAATATAGACGAATAAAAATTAGACGTTAGATTGAAGTGTGGAGATGATTAACTTTACTTCTTTCCCATAGATACATTGTTCTTTATTTTTGAAAATGTGAAATTAATTATTTCATATATATTTACTGTATTTCGAAATGACATTATCTTTACTATTATCCATTTTCAAAAAAAAGGCGGTTGAACATTTCTTTAATAACTTTTGATAGGAACTAGATAGAGAGGTGCGGTTTTCACCATTACGAAGACAAGACCGGGGCACATAATATGCGCTAAAATCCTATTCGTTGGTAATGGACCAATCAAATACATTCTCAGTGAACATTTTGAACTCGTTATTCTGAAGTCATTTCGCAACTTTACTGAGTTATGAATTTCTGTGTTTTATAGAAAAAACTGTTCTCTATCGATCTACGCAAGGCCGACCTTAATGGTGATGTTTGTTTTTCGAATTCGAAATGATCTGACACTCTTATATCAATATTTCAGAAATATCGACTCATTTGTTATACAGCGGTAGATTTTGTGAATTTTTGAAAATTCTAAAATAACACCATCAGATCATTTCGAATTCGAATAAAAAACATCACCATTTGACTCAGCATGAGGAATAATCCCATCCTAAATGGCTTTCCGGGTGATCCCAGGCCAATTTCCTAAAATCAGGGGTCTCAGAAAAAATCTTATAACTCTCCGACGGAGCCAACTAGAAAGGTCGACCTTGCGTAAATCGATAGAGAACAATTTTTTCTATAAAACGCATAAATTCATAATTCAGTAAAGTTGCGAAATGACTCCAGAATAACGAGTTCAAAATGTTCACTAAGAATGTATTTGATTGATCCATTACCAACGAATAGGATTTTAGCGCATATTATGTGCCCCGGTCTTGTCTTCGTAATGGTGAAAACCGCACCTCTCTATCTAGTTCCTATCAAAAGTTATTAAAGAAATGCTCAACCACCTTTTTTTTGAAAATGGATAATAGTTTATCGATGAAAATATCAGTATAAAATGCAATAAAAAGAAAAGAATGCAATCTACCACCACAAGCATAATCCAGTGCTATGATCTCTGATATTATAATCCAAAATTAGTTTGTCATTTCCGATGATTCTTTTGATTTGTTTCTTTGCTTGAGAGGTTAAATTTCGTAAACATAACCAGAAAATATCTGGAACATTGTTTGATAATAAAAATCGGACGATTGCTTCAAGTTGATTTTCGAGGACACTAAGTTTAAGACGTTGTAAACGAGGACAAAGATCAGCAAAAAAAAATGAACATATTTCAATGAGCAGTCATTTTCGATGCACAGTTCAATAACTTTAGTGATCTTTGATATCGAACGAACTTGATCAATCTGTTCAATTGATAAAGAACATACACCGATAAGTGACATATCAATCAAGGTTAATGATTGAATATTCAATGAGAATCGTAATAATTCAAGAAGTTGACTAATCGTAAAATGTGTATCTCAAATAAGTAAATGAGTAAGTTGTGTCAATGGAATAATCCGATTGATATTAATCATTGATCGATCTTTATTTTTAATATTATTTTCGACAAGAATAAGTTTAGTTACATTTGGAAAATAAATCGAAACATTATCCGGTATGTCAAGTGATACCAATCGTCAGATGAGAAGCTGAATTAATAATCGTTTCATTAATATCACAATGATACATTGCATAAGATTTTCTTCTGAAATCGAAAACAATTTCAATTTCATTTATTATATTTGAATTATTTTACCTGTATGGATTAGTAGAATAAAACATTCTTGAAAAATCATCTTTATCACAAGGTTGATGTTGATATTGAAAGAATTAATGTTGAATTTTCCAAAATGATGATTTGAACTTATTTAATAATTGATACCAGATAACACAATCATATGGAAGAACATATTTGGAAACGAAATACATAAAATCAAATATATATAAATCAGGCATATATTTTATAATTAATTGTTCCCATCGTTCAGTACATAGAAATGTTTTATTCATGTATGTTGTTAGTATACGCGGTACAAACATTCTGTTTGATGCAAGTGTGAATCTCAAGTATTGTCTAGTTCATATTTGATTTCATTCTTTTATGGCATTTTAAAATCCATTCTATTATCAAAAAACGAAATAAAAATAACGACAAAACTGTGAATTGTTGCTAATACAGAGTCTTCTTTTTTTCAGATTCTTATACAAATTAACATATGCATTTAAAAATAAATCAAACAGTTTTCTACCTGAATACGTAACTATATCTATTATGAAAAGTGCATGGAAAAACTCCAGAAAATAAGTTTAAATTATTTGTTTTATTCAAGATTGCAACTTCCTGAATTTAAGAAAAAACAGTGAAAATAGCAGATCTCTACCTTGTTCCTATCAAAAGTTATTCCAAAAATACTTATCTTACTTTTAAAATGTTATAAGAGTCCACCAAAAGCAGTTTTTCCACAATTTTTCTGTTTTATACAATGAATAAAACTACATTGATTTGTATATACCAGACTTTTTTCGTCAAGTTTTTTCTTGTTTAAAAGTTGAGATTTTAAAATTAATCTATAAAATAGATTTTTCGTGAACAGCCAGAAAAAGAACTCAATTTTTGGAAGAAAATTTGCCAGTTCAATCATAATTTGCTTCAATCTTTATATTTTATAAAACAAAAGAGTGTGTCGCTTGCACTTTTTATTTAAGAGAGGAATGATATTATATATAGATGGCACGATTAATTGTTCATCTTTTATATAATGGGATCCTGATCGAAGTCGACACGATAAATGTACCAACTGAGGTGTATACGTTAGAATCGGCGTAAGTTGATCTAGACAAAAATCACCATCAATTATGAGATATTTAAGTGTTTGACATTGATCATCTTTATGATGAACACATGGTAAACTTCTGCGAGTAATATCTCCATATAATGTTAATTTACAATATTTGATCAAAGGCAAATTAAAAATATATTGAAGTAAGATATTTTCATTTTGATAATCAAATGATAAAGTAATGGAAAGTCTAATGAGATGTGGTAGTGATATGAGAGAATCGAGAAGTCAAATAAGAAGATTATTCGAGGCTACACCATCAAGAATAAGTGTTTCAATATGAATAAACGAATGAATCGAGAATAATTTGAAAAACGAATCGATAGCATAATAATTCGATAGAAACAGTGAGACGATTTTTATTAATATTCGGTTTTAAAAGTTCTTCACATTGACGAAGAAAATTTGTTTTTGACATCAATGGTAAATTAACTTTTAGACGAAAAATTCAACTAGTAAATAGATGTTGAAATCGTATGTTCAATGGAAAAAAATATTTCATAAATTTCCCAACTTTCGAGATAATAAAATATTTCAAAGATGATTTCATTTGCAAGATCTTCGAAATGAATCGAAAAAATTGAAAAATAAAAAGATTTAAATAATATTCATTTTGTTTTAGTTTAAAAAAATATCATAAACGAACTGGATTCGTTGTTGTTCATTTCAAACTTCGACACTTATCTATAATAGAAACGGTATATTTATTTTAAAAAGAAATGTTGAAAAGAGACTCAAAGTAAACAAAAAAAAATTCATGGTAATTATATCTTCTTTAGAAACTTGTTCCTTAGAGAGAGGAAGGCTCGAAACCAACACTTGGTTCCATGTTTTTGATCTCAAATAAAAATTCAAATATACAGTGAAATTCTTCCAATAGTAACCTTTGTTTTTTACATTATCAATCATCCTCATGCAGCTGGAACATATCTTCATATATGTAAACAATGAAATTAAATCGGAAACCCATACTTATGTTCAACACTTTCTTATCGAACATTTCAACTACCACAGGAACTCACATATACACATTTATCGTGTGTAGTATAGAGAAAGAGAGATATTTCGAATACAGTGCATTGCGAAAAAAAGAACTATTAATAACACGTGCCGCGTGTTCTATCGTTTATGAATACATGCGAACAGTAAACATTGACTGAAACACATGTGTATGTGTTGTATTGTTCTCTTGCAGAATAAGAGGGTGTGGGTTAGAGAGTAGCGGGTCCATGTTTTTATGGACCCGGACCCAGACCCGGACTTGACATATACGGACCCGGACCCGTCAAGTGTTTCGCCAATATCTAGCACCGTCTGTATATATGAACAAGTGAAGACTCATGGTTTTAGTTAATTATTGGCTATTCTCAGAGGAAAAGTTTATGTACAGGTATTTCCTGTTGTTCACTTGTTCATCATGCAACGTGATGCTTAATAATTAAGATTTTATTGCTTAACTGAAAAA